TGTTCTGGACACTAGCGCTATTGTCCTCGGCGAACGTCTTGAGAGTGATGTCTCTGCTCGCTTGCCAAGCCTGGTCAAAGCTGGGGATGTTTTCCATGACAGCGCTGAGACCCGGGAATGTCTTCCAAGTCCAGCCGCAGTCTACCTCAGTGCTGAGAATGCGATCCCAGACCTCCGGCAGCGTGGTGTATTCATTGCGGATGAAGCTATGGAAGGCAGAGCCTGTGCTCTTGAGCACAAGTAATCCTGCGATGCCCGAGCGGACGGTGATTCCACTGCCTTTGCGGGCAACGGCCTCGACATTGCGTGTTTCAGCGCCATCGCGGAGAAAGGAGTGTGGGTGCAGCTTGCCATCGATGGTCATACGGGTCCAGCGATGAACGGTAACCTTAACGTGGGCTGCGTGGATGTGAGGGTAAGTTTCAATGAAGTGGGTCGAGACAATCGAGGCAAAGAGCTCTGGCGGCGTAACGGGGTGCTGTTTGGCCATGACTTTGGGGAGCTATTAGACATGTATTATATGGAACAAGGGAATATGGATACATACCGTAGATGGTATTTTTCATGGAGTCTGTAGCTACAACTACACCGTTGTCTGCATGTGTATAGCTGAGAGATTATTAGCCAATGGCCCTTTCTGAGCTCCGTCGAGTAACATACGAAGTTTCAATGTCGCCCTCGAGTAGGACGCAGACAGTCATCTCAATTACCGAGTGGACTCCGGTCTTCTCATCACGATGGACCTTGTAGACTCGGACGTTGTCTTTTCCATAACGTGCTGAGGAGAGTTGGGACATATTGATCGATTCGGTGTTACAGAATGTATTAAATGGGATTCAAGTTAAGGATAGTAGTTCTCTAAACATCACTAGGTTGCTTGACTGATTAGGGTCGGGAGTGTAGATAGTGGGTGCAGTTCTGGTCTTTATGTACTCAGTGTGAAGGCTTATCGGATGGCGGAGTGCGGAGACGAGGACAATGGCTCATGCATATTACAAAAAATCGTTCGCCCGGAGAATGAAAAAGCCCGGTGGCGAGCGATAGAGCACTTCCCGCCATTTCTCAGATCCTCGGAGGAGGCCGAACACCGTCTGCATCAAGCGAATTGCTCCATTCATGCAACGTCGTGGTCTTACATAATCTGCTACCCATCCGGGTATCCCAGCGAAAGTTATCTATAAGTGCAGTTCAACATATAGTATACATCTGCACAACATATACATGTACCTTGTTGGAGGCAGGAGTGAGGAGTCAAGGATATTTCATCCTTCTGAGATGGCGCTGAGCTATGCCTTGGTTCGCACAGAGTAGACGCTCTGGTGTATTGTTTGAGGATCATGAATACTCGTGAAAATTGCTACAGTGGAACGTGTTGCGTACCCGATAATGCCGACTTAAATGGTACTGGCTCGGAACACTCCCGAGCACATGGGCATCGCGATTTCCCTTCACTACAGATGACTTAAAGTCTACTTATATGTATGTATGTGCCGCATGATGCGCTTGTAAGAGCAAACTAATGCATCTGAGGGCCTGGGTCTATTTCTATGTCTGTATCTTTATTACTCTGGCATGTCGACACATTATTGCTGAGCGTTGCACAGGAGGTGTAGGGTACATGGATCGACTGCTTGTGGCCTACGCCTGTTTGGACGGTCAAAGCAGAATATCAATTCAGCTGCGGAGATTTACAGATTGCCCAGCCCAATAATTACTTAAGAGCAGATCATAGTTATGAAGCCAATACTACTGCGATTGCGATTATAACTGCGAAATCATACTACTATTACAATACAGGGTACTTCGAAAGGGAGACTCCCTAGGATGATAGTGGGGGTGCTAACTCTAGATTCGCTGCATCTTCTATGCCGACACTGATACCTACTATCATGCGGGGTGAATGTCCAGTTATCACTTGCCCCCCTTCAGTGCAGCACCATTGAGAAGTCCATCCATCGTCTCCAAGGGGATTGGCGGCTTCTGGCCATTCCTATACCTCCACAACCTGCTTAACTGTCTGACTGTCCCTCCACGCGCCCTTTCAGCACCAGCCTTTGCTGCGCCAATGAAATCAATCCTCAACCCGTTCTGCGTAGCTGCTAGCAATGCGTCCTCATGTCCATTGATGCCAGGAAGCTTCTTAGAGGCTATTTTCTGTCCGCGTACGCCCTCACGACGTACAGCAGTCTCCTCGTCAACCTCGACTAGCTCATCCAGGAAAGTATTTGCGAGCAGTGGGTCCATAGGGAACATGACATCCATGTAGTGCTGATTGAACAGATGTCCGGTAGCGTAACACCGAGTGAAGATGAGGCCACAGTAGCGGTTATCAGGCAAGCTCTTTACATTATAAAGCACTCCCCATCTACCAACTAGATCGTTATCGTTGCAATAATGCTCTATGTGAGAAACCTTGCGCTCACTATCTTCGGTGTTGTTCGCATTGCCGTTTAGTCTACTATATGAGGCGCCTCTCGGTCGAATAGTGTTCAGCGGATTATTGAAATGGCTTGCGGCGGAGCCAAACGTGTAGATTTCCTTATTCCACGGACTTGGTTAGAAAGTAGGGTCTATGAGGGTATACGGAGATTGGGGAGCGGCTACCAGTTTCGACATCTGGTCACAGGGCAGGTCCGCATACATGCGATCCAGCACCATGGATAATATAAGCCCGCCTTGGGAATGAGCAAGAACAATGACTTTCTTCACAGAAGGGTCAAGGGTAAATGCCTTCAAGTGGTCGTATATAATTCGACTATCCTCAGTGGTGATAGAAAAACATCTCTGCATCAGAGACTCGAGTAAATCGTATATCAAGCCATAACTATTGTGAATTTTAGAGGCGATTATATGTGGGGAATGCTGGGAAATAGTAAGATATACCTGCGGTTATGGATACCGAGAACAGGACGGCCAAACGTTGAACTGACTCGATCGACATTAGACTGCAGCCAGTGGTTGCTGGTATCTCTTAGTAATAGTTCACATAGAGCATTAGACGACACATGCCTTGATGCAATACCATTTATAAAAAGCCAACGCTCATCTCCGAACTGCTCCATGGTTGGGAATGTAGTAGAATCTAGGCTCGATTTCACTATCCGTGGACCGTTAATCGGTATCGAAACAACATAGACCATCCCGCAGCAGACGACAGCCAACAGCGCGGAAACGGCCCCTGGTAAAATAGCGAAAGCAGGAACCGTCACCGTAAGCAATAGAACTTCCAAGAAGAAAAGAACGACATGAATCGTTGAATCTCTCAAATTAGGCCAAGTTGCATACACCCTAGCATTTTGGGTGACTGTTGTTACAGGCATGAACATTGCCGGTATGTAAATCTGCAATCTAAAAAGAAGGCCGATATCACGCAGCACAAGGCGAAGTGGTGACTCTCGCGCTGGTGTTGGGGTTGTCGTAGCTAAGCCGTCTATCTGGGACGGGATGTAGGATATTTTCATGGTGTAGTGGTTAGCTGCCGCAAGACCTTTGCACTCAAGATAGGTTGGATCATTAGTATTCGGGCAGTGAGACAGCGGGGACAGGGACCTTATAAAGTATTTTGCACCTTTTCAGATCTTGGATTCTTCGAACACCACTCCGTTTAGAAATGTCGAGTAAAACCTATAAAAGCACATGTTCATAGGTTTGTGGAATGCTCTGAATAGTCTGACGGTATTTTTTCCTGCCCAAAAGGCGACGCATCTAAATGGGAAAAAACAAATTTGTAGACAGCCACTGGAACGTAAGCGGGGGTGATCTGACCCGCCAAACCCAGGAATCTTGGTATTTTTGATTGCCTTCGCTCTGCCCTTGCGTAAGACACCCTCCCAGCCAACAGTCCAAAATGCGTCAACCTAAGTTCGATGAATACCCAAGGCTGCCAACATTTATCAACACCAATTCACCACACATATTTTTCAACAACTTTCCACGTTGTGTCTCCAGCTTTTAGCTCGTCGTTTTCTTCAGTGGCTGGAACTCCATTTAGGTGCGTTCCCGACATGAACGTAAGAGAGCACGGAATGTACGCCCCACCAGTCTTGACCACTCTCTCCCAATCTCCACCACTCCCATTGCTCTGTTCACCCTTGCTCGCTGTGCTAGTGTCTGAGCTCCTTGGTGCCCAATGCCATCGCTCGACGCTGGTCACCGCGCCTACTTTCAATATACCTTGGCACCACTGGCCAACCCTCACAATCTTGCCTCTAATGCCCCTTACATCATCCACAGTTCCGACCACAATGCAAATCCGATGCGTATCGCCTCCAGTGACCTCAACTTCTAAATCTTCCCAGACCTCCTCGTAATCTGTCATTTCCCCCGTGGATGGGTTAACCATTCTCCCTATTTCAAGTATAGACCCATCGCGTTGTGGAATTAGGTCTCCCTCGTCCTTGTCTGGGTTGTCACTCCTTGAATCTACTTCGTGAGACCATTCCGAGTGTAAACAGCCTGGACGATCTTCAGTGACCGTTGCTATGCCGGAAAAAGCCCAGTCTAGTCTTCTGAGCGGCCCCCCCTCATTTGGGAGATCAGGTTCCCCAGGAACTAACGGTTTGAAGATCCGTAGATCGACAAAATGCTGGTTGCGAGATGTAAGGACCAGGGTGGATGTCGGTTCAATCGCTTCATTAGGAAGCTTTCGTAAGGGCAATTAGTGATACGACCAGAGCAGAAGAAGCAAGGGACAAACCCAACGAATGGATCGACGCTTTGATGCGGCTGGTAGCGACATTGTATTGGCAGCGGACTAATGAGTAATATAGTTGTTAAGGTGGGTTGTCATCTCAAGCGATAACGCCACAATTGACCATAATGTCGTTCATCTGCGAACCGTGATTCACTTGAATCGACTAGAAAATCTGCTGGTCATAGGACTGCTGCTCCCGCAATTCTCGAGTGTGTTGGGGGCTGTCGATGGGCCTAAAAATAAAAACCAGTTTCTTCACCAAAGCCCCATAAGGCAGGAAAGAAAGAAAAAATAAGAAAATTTTATGTGGACAATGTGGGAATCGAACCCACGACCCTCCGCATCTACGCGGTTATGCGAAGCGGATATCAGACCACTAGACCAATTGCCCATGAAGAAAACCCTGACTGAACTTCACTATATAAACTGCTTAGACACAGCTAAAGGCATCTCATCACGTGATGATACAAACCCCCGAAAATAATTTCTGAGTTTCAGAGCCTCAAACGGAAGAGTCGAGTACATACATCTCCACGAAACTAGATTTGGATAGCACTTCGACTATCTAACATGAACCCTGAAATATCTATAGACTCCTGAGGTTCACTATTGTCGTCGAGACGACATGAAAAGAGCTTTTGTACGATCCAAGAATCCGCTTCACAACCTTTAGGGCTTGTCTAATGAACATCTGCAGTCACTACGACGCCGCATCATGCCATTGTTGGCCAATAAACGAGCTGGAAACTTCGCGACGTCTCGAAAGATTCCCGGGCATGGTCTTATGATCGAATGCCAAACCCGGAAATACTCAATGGTCCAACAGGTACAATCATTGGCTGGGGAAAGCAATCGAGTCCCGCACACTGAAATCTTCGGGAACAATACCATCGCACAAAGAGATGGAAACAAGAGCACTGCAATCGGGCAACCTAGCGTACCGTCTCCTCCTCCGAAGAGTCAGAAATTGAAACAGCGGTTACCTAAGGGGTTAAGGAATGCAGCTACGAATCGACAGAAGGCCGGCGGAAAGCGTGCAGTCGACCCAACCACAAGGCTTCCGCCTGCTCGACGACAGCACCAGTCCGGGTCAACACGTCAGCTGATTGACGAGCAACACATCCACAACACATTCGACCTTCCAACGAAGGAAGACTATCCCCATGCCCCTCCATCTCTGTTTACCCAACCCTCAAGTTTCATTTTTAATACCAGTTACTTGCGAAGCCGGAGGGAGACTCACTGCCTTCACGGAATTTGGAGATGTACAGTTACTAGCCAAATAACGGACAGACCTTCTATTAGTGCTATTGGGGAGGGTCGCAGCAAAGTGGGTTCATCTTGAGCTCATATGGCTGAGGGACGACTACTAATTACTTCTATAGTCCAACGCTGAAAAAGCAGCTTGCCTCCACGTCATCGCGAAGCTACATCATTCAGGCACTCTCAAGGAAGCTTACAGTGATGCCAATGATACGACCATCGACAAGCAGACCTTGCAAAGCGAAGCTGATGCGAAGGAGGACGTTTACAACTACGCAGCTAGATTCGGGTGTATTCCAACTTTCAGCGTACGAACGGTCCAGATCCACAAACGAGGGAGATCGCGGCGGAGCGTTGAGGTTACTATTGAGCTTCCTGAGCAGGGTATCAAAGTCGCTATGAGGGGGGTTGATCTTAGAGTGGCAGAAATTGGGGCTTCGATCATGTTTAAGAGGGAGGCTGAGAGGTATCACGCCGCGCATGGGAGCGACAACATAGTAATAAGGGATTCAAATGTCCTGAATACCGGCAATGCTGGGTTTTTCATCGATTTCTATAAAATCATGAACCCCGGAACCACTGTGGAAGCGACACTCTCAAGTGCGAAGCACCTAAACGCCTTTAAATGGTTTTCGTCCTATCGGGGCCAGGTCTTAATCAACAACGAGCCCGTCGGTGATCCAGTCGACATGATCGGAAAAGGGAAGGCAGAACAAGTTGCCTTCCTGACAGCTGCAATTGCAATCGCGAAGGAAGATGATGAGTTGTTCCATCAATTTTTACGAACTCCTAAAGCAGCAAATGGGGCAGTTCTGAAGCCATTAGCTCCGGTTACGATGCGTGTGGATTCTGATTGCGTTCTCACCATGATTGATACGCTAGGCGAAGCCAGGAATAGAGGCCTCCCCGATGAGAAGGAAGATGTCGCTGGGGATGATGAGACCAATATTAAGAGATTGCGCACACGAGTCGAAATGAACCCTGCTCTCATCCCACTTCGAAACCGAGAGCTCCAAAAGAAGCATGAAGCATATATGAAAAACCCAGATCTTGAAATCCTCAGGGCAAAGAAGGAGGGGTTGCCGATGAATCAGTACCGAGCTAAGGTCATTGATTTGGTAAAGAATAATGCATACAGTATCATAGTTGGGGCTACCGGAAGCGGGAAAACGACACAGGTTCCGCAGATTTTACTTGAAGATGCTATATCGGGAGGGTTCGGGACCCAGTGCAACATCATCTGTACACAGCCCAGGCGCATTGCAGCAACTTCGGTAGCCCGCCGAGTTGCCGTTGAGCGGAACGAAGCTCTACAAAACACTGTTGGATATCATGTGCGGTTCGATGCAAAGCTTCCACGATTTGGCGGTAGCATTTCATACTGCACCACGGGCATACTCCTATCGCAACTTCAACACGGCGCAGACGCAACCCTCGATGGGATCTCACACTTGATCATCGACGAAGTTCACGAGCGAGATATCCTGATAGATTTTCTCCTTATCGTGCTCAAGAATGTGCAGAAAGAGAGGGAGAGAGCCGGGAAGCCAACTCCAAAGGTCATTCTCATGAGCGCCACGCTGGACACAGAACTATTCGCCGGTTATTTTGGACACGTCGCTAATGACGGAAGTTCCATCACATGTCCGTTGTTGAGTGTCCCTGGACGCACCTTTCCTGTGAGAGAATACTTTCTGGAGGAGATCTTGGAGACGCTCAAGGGATCCCACCCAAGCAATCTGGGGCTTCTAGATCCCCCAACTCAAGAATACCTAGATGTCGAGCGTAACTTTATAGCAAACCCATCCGCAACCACCCAATCATCTACTTCCGAGAATTTGCCTGATGTTAAAGACTCGACAATCGACTGGAAAACTGAGCGTACCATCTCATCAAGGGGTGAGCATATCATATCCACAGAGCAAGAGGATGCGTTAGTTCCTCTCGGGCTAGTTGCAGCTACTATAGCACACATTGCAAAGACAACCAACGAAGGGGCAATCTTAGTTTTCCTACCCGGGTTGGCAGAGATCGTCAAAACGGAAGAGATTTTAAGGAGCCACGGGCCTTTGGGTATCGACTTTAACGATGAGCGCGCATTCAAGATATCAAAGCTGCACTCAACAATCTCGGCAGACCAAACGGACGTGTTTAACGCTGTTCCTCCGGGTTGCCGCAAAATCATATTGGCAACGAATATTGCTGAAACCTCTATCACAATTCCTGACGTGCAGTTTGTGGTCGATTGTGGAAAGCTTCGTGAGAAACGATACGACCAGCTTCGACGGATAACGAAACTGCAGTGTACATGGATCAGTAAGTCAAATGCCAAGCAGCGAGCTGGCCGAGCTGGCCGGGTCCAAAATGGAAATTACTATGCGCTCTACTCAGAGAAACGATACAATTCTTTGAGGGTGATAGGGCTTCCGGAAATGCTTAGGTCTGACCTTCAAGAGATATGTTTGGATATTAAATCCCACGGCTTCAAATCTTCCATTCGCGATGTTCTGGCCGCGGCTATCGAGCCTCCTTCTCCCAGCGCTGTAGATGCATCCGTTACGGAGCTGCAGGGGCTGGATGCTCTGACGGACGATGAGAAACTCACGCCTCTTGGCAAGCTATTAGCTTCTTTGTACGTACCCCTTTCGGAACACATCTTTGAGTCATCGCTAACCCGTCAAAGGCCCGTCCACCCTTCACTAGGCAAAATGATAGTTTTAAGTGTGATCTTCCGATGCCTAGACCCGATTCTCATTCTGGGGGCAGCCTCAAACGAGCGGAGCTTGTTCGTGTCACCCCTTGAGAGAAGGAAAGAAGCGGGCGAAGCGCGAAATTCCTTCACCCAAGAGTCAGGTAGCGATCACATAGCTCTTATCAATGCATTCGGAGAGATGCGACACATTCGTGCGTCACGAGGGGATCATGCAATGCTTTCATTTGCGCGAAACAATTTTCTCCATCCCGGGGCATTTCGTACAATCGATAACACTGTCCAGCAAATTGAAACGATTCTGATCGAAGCTGGCCTTATCCCCAAGACTGATCCTAAGAGTCGTTTTCGGTTTGAATATGGCGATCCGCAACTTAATGAGAACTCTAGTAGTGTTCCACTCATCAAAGCTCTTATTCTAGCAGGTACACATCCGAATTTGGCGGTTGGTACTGGACCGATCTTGTATAGAACACCGAACGAAGCATCGGCCATGATCCACCCTTCTTCGACTAACTACGTTGCGCCAAAGCTAGCAAAAGGGAGTTCCCAGCTTCCCACCCTACTCATGTACAGCAGCATGGCCAAGTCAACCGATGGGAATACTCTCTTCCTCCGGGAAACCTCTGAAACTACACCATTGACTGCCGCTCTTTTTGGCGGTCGTTTGCTTGTCAAGGGGAGAGTCATCGAGATGGACTTCTGGCTTCCTTTCTACGTCAGAGCAGACTCGAGAGCAATAAAGGCTATCCTTGAGTTTAAGAAGGGCTTGGATAGGGTGTGTTCTATTCTCCCCCACCCCCTTTTATCTCGTCATCTGGGAGAAAGGATGGTCGCTAACGATGTTATGTGCAGCTCTTGACAGGCACTTTCAACGACCTCTGCAAGGGTAGAAACGGCTCTTCTAACTTCTTGGCTGATAGCCCCGCACGTAGGGCTTTTGCCCGAGGACTCGTTGAGGTTTGTTTCCCCTTCGCCGCCTTACTTTTCCTGCGGTTCTCGACTAATGATAATTTTCCACCAGGTACTTTCCAGAGATATAAATGCTAAGGAAAGTTACGGGGACCAGACCAACTCGAAGTCCCTTCGATTCTCTCAAAGATGAAGCACCTGGGTTTTCCCGGCCCTCGGAATGAACAATGGCGTTGTCCAGATGCACTCTTGTTACTTGCTAACACTCCACTTCTTTATTCTATGGATTCTTCGATTTCTTTTTTAACTGTATCATATGCATGTGCATGGGGCTGGGTACTTAGAACATAGAGTAAAAGGGCATTTACAAAAAAGGCTGGCCGGGGGGCAATTGTTGCTTTTTATTCCAGTCGTTATTTACCCGAGATTCCTGTGTGAATACACCGTCCTCAGAACCCCCCTCCTGTCTACGGATGCTCCTCCCTCCTATAAAAAAACTTTATTAT